GAGAGCGAGAGAGAGAGAGAGAGAGAGAGAGAGAGAGAGTGAGAGAGAGAGAGAGACTGCAGAGAGGCCTGGTGGGCCCTTTTCAGGAGAAGCGTGCTGGGCTGGTGGGGATGACTCTGGGCTTGTCTTTCACAGGCCTGCACCTCTTTAGAATTTGTCAACATGCTGTCATTGAGATTGTCTATGGCAGTCTGGTCCTTAGGTCCAGTCTGATCTCTCTAATTTTATTTTATTTTTTTATTATTATTTTTTTAATGCTGCAGACTAGTTGTAAAGAATTTTATTTTGGAGGTGGTGAATCTGTCTTTATATACGCCTCATCTATCATGTATATGAAACATGAAATTTATCAATAAATGATATTGATTCACCTAATTACATATTCATAAGCTTGTATACAACTTTTTCAACTACAATTTCAGAAATTTTTTTCAATGCATAAAATATATGTAGAAACTAGTTTATTTTATCCCTTACCATAAAATATACACAAATCTCTTATAAGAAAGCTAAATTTCAAATACTTAATTACTCTCTAATTTTATTTTTCACCTAAAAGTACTCACATTATTTTGAAAAAGCATCCTTTAGTCAAAGGGCAGGGACAATGGTGGTTCGGCGGATGGTAGAATTGGGGAGCCCTGGGTTGGGCTCCGGGCCCAATACACCTCGATGCACTTGTCTGGGTGCTGAGCAGGTCTCCGCAGAGGTCCAGACTGAGAAAGAGTAGGGCAGGAGGCCTGACAATCAGCTTCTAAACAAGCAGCCACCGAGCCCCCTAGGGATCACCATGGTCGGATGCTGCTGTGTCAGGGGAAAACCTTATACTACAAAGCAGACCTGCTCCATAGGGCTCCCAACGCTATGAACCTTTATGGCAACAGACTGCCATGCCTTTCTCCTGTGAAGAGACTGATGGGGCCAAACCACTGACCTCAGGGTTAGGCTCAATCAATTACACCACAACTGATTGCATTGCAATGAAAAACTTGAACGTAAAGCCCCTGTGCAGCTGTCAGGGCAAATCTGGAATATTTCTGCCTGAGACACAAACACCAGGCTCACCCAAGCTTACGATGCTGGCTTCTGGGTGAGAAAACTAGAACTGTAAGGAAGTTGAAGGCTATTTAACTGTTTAAAGGACAACTCTTAGTGACTGGGGTCTCAGAAGCTCAAGAGCGGCCATCTAAAGTGCAGCTATCAGTTTCTCTCTGTCCGGAGCGAAGAGGTGTGAGGAAAATCAAAGATGCAAAGAAACAATTAGTCCACAGGTGAATGGACCAGACTGTGCAAGCCTCAGCCTCCAGGTCCTGGAAGAGTTTTCTGGAAGAATTCATTGGCACCTGGCTACTAGCCGACTGCTCTGGGAGGGGTCACACTAACTAGCAAAGTCCTGGAGAGTGTGGGAGATGAAGATTCACAAAACTCAAAACCACAGAAAAGACAGCCAGAGACTTCGTGACCCCTGAGACAAGAGACCTAAGTCACGCCTCAGGTCAGGACCTGAACTGCCCCCCCCTCCCCCCTGGGGCTCCGTTTTCAGGCAGAGCAGGGGAACGGTAACTCCAGGGAGAGAGGCACACCTTAGAATAGCCCACCACTGGAGATCAGAAGGGCCAAGGACAGAGTCCAGACAGATTCGGAAAAGGGGACGGAATGGGAACAGGAAAGACGAGGCCGTGGGATACGGGTGGTTGACTGAGGAGACTGTCATCCGTGACCATAAACAAAATGTGGGGGGACTGGGGAGCGGACAATGGGTTTGCTAGGTCAACTTTCACCCAGTTCACAAGGAAAAAAGGCAGGGAGCGAGGAGGAAGTCGTTCTCTCGGCTGACTCGGAAGCCAAACCAAATGTGTCTTTGACTTCAGGTTCCTCCATACTAAGAACGTAATGAAATCTCGAGCTTCCATTTTTGGCTCAGCACTAGGGGCTGCTCAGAATGGTGGCTGCCAACTGAGGAGGCTGCGACCGAGGCTGCTGGAAAAAGGTCCCCGGGCACAAGTATGCCTGGCATAGGAGCGAGGACACTTAGCACCCATCACTCCGGTGTCCCCAGCTCCAACACAGGTCTGGAGCAGGTTTGGCATCTCCAAGCCGGTCACCTTGGTTGACATGGCTCTATGGCAGTGCCCTGGCCCAGGTGGCCAGGGGAGCAGGATATGCGGGCTCCTGGGACACTTGTCCCCCATAATCAGAGGTGACACTGCTTAAGCACACTTCAGTGTCCCTCCACCTGCAAATTTGGTAGTTCTTGTTCTAAATGTTCTTCTCATACCCCAAGCTGGGTTTTTACGCTGCCTACACAAAATGTCCTTCGTAAACCGTTCTCAGCCCCGCAGAGACTAGAGATGGCTCCCAAACAAGCCGGCTTTCCGATGTAGCTGTCTCTTGGTAGGCTGGGAGCCTGGTGCATGCTTGATCCTTGCTCGAGCGCTGGATGTAAGTGACTGATCTCACCAGGGCTCCTGAGGAGCATACTAAACACTGCGCTCAGGAGAGTCCAACTGGAGGCAGGCGCCAAGCCCGAAATGAAATGTCTCAGTTAATGCAAAGCACGAGTGGTTTCGTATTTCTTTCATTTTCACGGTAAAGATCCTAAAAGGAGCTCTTTAACCTGCGCTTGCCTCCCTTGGCCCCACAGTGAGCCCACGTTTTCATCAGGAAGCTTCTATTTTCAGCGAGGAAAAGCTGAGGTGTAATTCCACCATTCCTGTTACAGCCTTCCTACAGCATAGATGGGATGACCTCAGCACTTCCATTACAAACTCCCAGGAGTTTACAATGTGACAAGAATGTGCCACCGGCTGAAAGGATACAAAATGAATTGGCCGGTGAGAATAAGCAGGTTTTGATCTCGGTGGGCCAAGCAGGACTGAGCAAAGCGGGAGACGCCTTCCAAACGTGGCTTGGGAAGGAGAACACGTCACTTGTTAGGTCTTAGCGACCCGACGTACAACAGAACGGAACAGCGCCCCGGCCTGCGCCAGCCTCCCACGTGTTCCTGTGTTGGAGCCCACCGGTGCGGCCACTGTGCCAGCCCGTCTTGTCCAGGCCTTTCCTCTTTTTCGCTGCCCTCCACTTTACCAAGCAAGATTAGGTGTTGGCAGCTTTCTCAGCAAATGAAGGACCTGAACGGAGGCTGAACTCCATCCGCGCACCATTAGGGCCGGCTCTACTTTGAGAAGGCAGCTCTTGCTCAGTCAAAGTGTTCTGAGTACCTTCCAACCGGAGGGGCTGGTCTTCCGGCCCTCCCGCGGTGCTGCGATGCTTCCCTTCAGGAGGGTCTGCTATCTGACAGTGCTGCCCTGTATGTTTCCGTGCTAGCCAGAGCTTTTCAGCGGCTAGGTCCTCCCAGATGGACTGCCCGTTCCTTCTCTGTAGTCTTATCTTGATCCGGAAGCTCCGCTGAAACCGGTTCACCTTGGGGACCGACCTGCTGGTATCTGAAATACCAGCGACACAGCTTCCCGCATCACAGCAACACTCAAGCCACCACAGTGTGACGAACAGACGGGTGGTGGCACCTGTCACCTCACCCAGCTTTAACCCCAGTGAGACGCTGCATTTGACCTGCTGGTGTCTGGGGTCATGGAATGCCCACCTCATGGGGACACCCCAGCCCTTTCTAATGTCGGTGTTGTTTCCCAAGCCTAAGGGGCTCCACCAGCGCATGAAAGACACCATGCG